GAATGATAGAGGGGTCTGAAAGAACAGCAGTGGATGCCACATGGGTCTGGGCTACCTATTCTGTACTCACTTGTGACTTCTGTATGTTCTCATGCTGAGTCTTGAGACTTCCACCTTATGATGGATTATTGCTGGGCCCAGCTGACTTTAGGACTTCCCAAGTTTGATGGCCCATCTCACAACGGGCAATTTTGGCTGCGTGGTGACTCAAGTGTTCCAAGGTCAGGTGCTCCATCTCTATCAGCACAGCAGCAAACCAGGATATTTTTTTTCCCCAAAAAGACATATAAATTTTCTGCTCCAAGTGGTATGGTAGAACCTCGGGGTCCTGAATTGTGAATCTCCTACTGGGACATGACCTTGTCCCATGTGGCATTGTTCCATGTGGAACATGGAAACTCCATGTGGCATTGTTCCCCGCCACCAATAACCACCCATACCACCTGCTAGACCCTCTGGGTCAGGCAGCAGAGCCTGACCTATTATGGCCTCCATTAATTACCTGCCTCTCTTATGGACCACTCTAACAGGATACCTTGCTGATGATCCGAAAATGTAGATATCAAAGTTCTCAGCTCTTCTCAAAGCTGACAGTTTTCCAAATCACTCAATATTTGAGTCAGAGCTGGATTCCTAGGTGTGGAACATGCTGCTTCCAGAACCAGAAGAGGTCCAACAATGTCTTGCTTTCTAATTGTTGAAGGTGCCAGATGCAATAATTGTCTTTTACTTTTGGAAAGCTGCCCTGTGGGACACTGCTGACCACTGGATCCCTAAAAATATGATGGATGTAGCAGGCCCCTGAATCTTCATGGGGTTTATTATTTCCTCTCTGGAGTATCTGTATCTTACCAAGGTCTCCAACATCTTCACCTCTTGCTCATCTGGCTGATGAACATGTTGTTATGGATGTAATGGGACAATGCAATTATCAACATAGCCTTCAGGCAAAACTATATTTGTTCCACGTGTCCCACAATCTGGGGGCCAACATCAACTGCCAGACATGTGCGTAAATGAGTCACCAAGAGAGATGCTCCTTGCTGTTTTATCCACTAAGTGTGTAGTACTTTGTTATGTGGCACTAGATACCCCATCGTGCTAGCAGCATCCCTTCAGCAAGTTCACACCCAGTCTTTGATCAGGTCCTAAACCCCATATCTCAGAAGATTGCTTATAAGCCAATAAACTCTTCTACCCGGTTTTATTTTTTAAAATTTATTTAAATTCAATTAACATACAGTGTATTATTAGTTTCAGAGGTAGAGGTCAGTGATTCATGAGTTGCATACAACACCCAGTGCTCATTACATCACGTGCCCTCCTTAATGCCCGTCATCCGGTTACCCCCTCCCACCAGCCCCCTCCCCTCCAGCAGCCCTCCGTTTGTCTCCTGAGATTAAGAGTCTCTTAATGGTTTGTCTTCCTCTCTGACTCCTCATCTTGTTTTATTTTTCCTTCCCTTCCCCTATGATCCTGTTTTGTTTCTTATATTCCACATTATCAGTGAGATCATATGATAATTGTCTTTCTCTGATTGACTTATTTCACTTAGCATAATACCCTCTAGTTCCATCCACATCATTGCAAATGGTAAGATTTCATTTTTTGATGGTGGAGTAGTATTTCATTGTGTATATGAACCACATCTTCTTTATCCACTCGTCTGTCAACGGACCTCTGGGCTCTTTCCATAGTTTGGCTATTGTGGACATTGCTGCTATAAACATTGGGGTGCAGGTGCCCCTTTGGATCACTCCATTTGTCTCCTACCCAATTTTACATTGTAACTCCCAATTTCTGCAAGGGTCATGCTGATGAATTAAACGTGTTGGGGACCACCACTCATTAAACACACTCATAATCCAGCCCCACACAAATTTTCCCAGTTCCTGGAAGTACACATTGGCTGGTCTTACAGCTTGTTATGGATTGAATTTTATCCCCACCCCCTCTCAGAAAAGATGTTGAAGTACTAACCCTGAGTAACTGTGAATGTGACCTTATTTGGAAATAGGGTCTTTGCAGATGATCCAGTTCAGAGGAGTTAATTAGGGTGGGTTCTAATTCAGTATCACTGGTGTCCTTTTAAGTAGGGGAAATTTGGACACAGAACCAGACACACATGTAGGGAAAAGCCATGTGAATATGAAGGCATAGATTGGTGTGATGCACCTACAAGCCGAGGAATAGCAAACGTTCCAGCAAACCATCAGAAGCTGGGGGAGAGGAATGACAGCCTCTTGCAGTCCTCAGAAGGACCCAGACATGCTGTCATCTTTTTTCTTTTTTAAATTTATGTTTTTTTTAGTAATCTCTACCCCTGACGAGGGGCTCCAGCTCACGACCCCTAGATGTAGAATCGCATGCTCTTCCAACTGGGCCAGCCAGGTGCCCCCATGCCGTCTTCTTGTTCTGACTTCTGGCCTCCAGAGACAAATTTCTGGTAAGCCATCCTGTTTGTGGTACTTTGTTAGTGAAGCCCTAGCAAACATAATACACAGTCCTTTTAAGGGGGGAGGGGACTATAGCTCCCCTTGCATCTCATGTTTCCAGCTAAATTATGCCCCCCAAATAACTGTGATTCCATGCTTAGTGTCCAGTAGGTGGGGGAAGGAGTGCTGGCTAAACAGGGAGAGGTGAGCCACATGGGGAGCCTCGGGAGTCAAAACCTTTGAGGGTATCTAGCCAGATACCAAATACCTCCAGCCCGTGTCATGGCCCCAGCTTTTCCCAACCAGGGCCCCAGACTCAGCATAACAGAACTGCCTTGGTTGGGTGCTTACCATCTTTGAGGTATTAATCCCTGGGCCTGGGCCTTTTTTTTTTTTTTTAAGATTTTATTTATTCGAGAGAGAATGAGAGATAGCACGAGAGGAAGAGGGTCAGAGGGAGAAGCAGACTCGGGAGCCCGATGTGGGACTCGAGCCAGGGACTCCAGGATCATGACCTGAGCCGAAGGCAGTCGCTTAACCAACTGAGCCACCCAGGCGCCCTGGGCCTTGTCTTTATCATCTCAGTGTGGGAGATGCTTTCTTTATATGCAACCAAAGAGGCTCCGTGGCTTTCAACCGTTTGTTGTTACCCATCAGCTATCCATTGTTTTTCTTTTTTCCTTTTTAAATTATTTATTTTTTAAGATTTTTATTTATTTATTTGACAGAGCACAAGCAGGGGGAGCGGCAGAGGTAGAAGGAGAAGCAGGCTCCCCACGGACCAGGGAGCCCGACATGGAGTTCGATCCCAGGATCCTGGGATCATGACCTGAGCTGAAGGTAGACACTGAACGACGGAGCCACCAGGCGCCCCTGTTTTTCTTTTTATTTATTTTATTTTTTTAAGTAGGCGCCACGCTGGGCTCCCAGTGAGGGCCTTGAACTCATGACCCTGAGACTGAGACCTGAGCTGAGATGAAGAGTCGGGCACTCAACCGACTGAGCCACCCAGGTGCGCCCGTTTTTTTTTAAGCGTATCAGTAGTACTGAGGAATAGCTACCCAATTCCGTGACCCTTCTTGATAGCTACTATAATGTAAAAAAGGCTCCATATGTCACCCACTTTGTGTATTCCACTTCACGTCACTGGTTCACCTCCAGCTTCAGAGCTGGTGAGAAATGAGCAGATCACCACAGGGGCTGTGAGTGACCCAGCACATCTCCTCCCTCGCTTCCTCAGACCACTCCTGGGAGCAAGCGCTGTAGGATGGCTTCTCCACAAGCAGATGCTGAGATGGAGTTTGGGGGATAAGACCTGTGGGAGGAAGGGGAAGGAAGCAGGACTGAGCAGAGGACGCAGAAGTGTGCGGAGGCCCTGCAGAGCTCTTGCCGGTCTGGTGTGCTCTGGGGCCCGTACGGATCCTCGGAGGGGTTCGGTGTTGGGCCCAAATGGCCAGATCTTTATACTTGCGCTCCATTCAGTCACCAGCTGTGGACTGCGCCAGGCAGGATACGGCCTTGGGCACACCCACTACAGCCCACCCCTGCGCACTTCCCCTTATGTATTTGGGGAACAGCTCCTTCAGGGGCACCCTGCAGACACACTTCGCCTTTCAGGATTCCTGGGCCTCCCGGTTCAGCTCCAGCAAGCTCCCAGCCTCCTCATGTGTTGCTGCTCCCCGGTGCTTGTCCTCCCACTTCCTAAGGTCAGCTCCCGGTCTGAAACGGCGGCTGGAGCTCACTGCTGGTCAGTACTACGCGTTCTGCGGCAGTTTAGAAAAGTAAATGAGCTAACACATATAAAAGCCTGGGACAAACGTCTGGCTCACAGGGGGGCCCATGTAGGTATCTGCTAATATCCCAGCAGGTATTAAAAGTGTGCACAGGGTGTCCCAGCAAGGCTCCTGGGAATCGGCGGAAAGCGCCAAGAGTGCAGCTGAAGGAGCACTTGCAGGGTCACACATGGACTAACTGGCTGCTGTCACCCCGGTGGCCAGTGGCTGCGCAGGCCCGCGGACCCCAGACCCCAACCCCGGAGGGCGGACAGGGCCGAACCTAGCGCGCGCTCGACCCGGGCAGCAAACTGGTCCAGGCGCCCGGCTTACCTGCCCGCCTCTCCCAATGGGACTCCGCAGGGCACTCGCCGCATCCTCGGGGCCAATGGGAGCGAGCCTTCGGTGTTGCTGGGCGGGCCGGGCGCTCCAAGCCCGGCCCACGACCCGCCGCGCACGCGCACTCTCCCTCCCGCCCTTCCCGCCGCGCACGCGCATTCCGTGTAGGGCCGGCCGGGGGGTCGGGGGCGCGCGGAGTGGCGGCGGAGCCCGCGCTCGTGCTCGCTCCCGCGCCGGTGCGGAGCCACTCGGGCCGCGCCCCTACCCCGTCGCCTCAACTCCCCGCCAGGCAGATGCGGGTCGCGGGGCTGAGGGGAGCGAGGTAGCCTTCGCCCGCGCCGCCGCCGCCGCCGCCGCCGCCGCCGCCCGGCCCTGGGCCGGCCGCGACCGCGGCCCTAGCCCCTCCCGGGCGTGTTCCGGCCTGGTCGTCCGCGGGGCGCGGCCAGAGCGGGCCATGGCCGACCGCGGGTGTCCGCTGGAAGCAGTGCCGCTGCCCGCCGAGGTGCGGGAGAGCCTGGCCGAGCTGGAGCTGGAGCTGTCGGAAGGTGAGCGGCCCGGATCCCACCCGGCCCTCACCCCGGACCCCGGATCCCGGGACCCCGGACCCCAGCCCGGATCCCACCCGGCCCTCACCCCGGAACCCCGGACCCCGACCCAGATCCCGCCCGGCCCTCACCCTGGACCCTGGGACCCCAGACCCGGACCCCCGCCCAGCCCTCATCCGGGACCCCGGCCCGAACCCGGGGACGCCGGACCCCCGCCCGGCCCTCACCCCGGACCCCGGGACCCCAGACCCTGGTCCGGATTCCGCCCTCACCCCGGACCCCCGGGACCCCCGCCCAGCCTTCATCCAGGACCCCGGCCCGAACCCCGGACCCCAGATCCTGGCCTGGACCCCCGCCCTGCCCTCACCCCGGACCCCGGGACCCGGGACCCTGACCTCGACCCGGATTCCGCCCGGACCCCGGGACCCCTGCCTGGCCCTCACCGGGAGAACTGGACACCAACCCCCTCCCCCCCCCCCCCCCCCCCCCCCCGCCTTAGGCCGCCAGCCTTTGGGTTCCCGGCGGGTCGCCGAGCCCTGCGGTTTGACTGGGTGGTTTGGCCTCAAGCACGTTGAGTCTCGACGGGAATGACCATTTTTGTCGAAGCAGTAAGGCGGTGTTTATCCGAGCTTCAGGCTGCAGGTCTGGGCTTCCTGAGGGTGGCTGTACCCAGGACCTGTGAGCCCACCCCCAGCCTGTGTGTCCGTGTCCCCCTGTATTACCGGGTTGTAACAGCACCTGCCTGTCTGCGTCGTTCAGGCTAAAAGAACATATGCAAAGCACCGAACACTTAGAACGAGGTTGTTGCCCCATTTCCGGAATTCTTAAAAATTAAAAAAAAGTTCAATGAATGGTTGTTTGTTAAAAATAGACTGGAGTAACTGCGCTTCAGAGGTGGGTGGCTTCGGCATCTAGAATGATCTTTTCCCGAGACTTGTGTCCTGATGTTGTGTTTGGATTCATTGCACAAAGAGTAAGTTCTTGCCCAGTTACAGGGCAGCCAGCAGCCTTTGAGGAAACACATCTAAATGTTTAACTCTGTTTTTGAAGCAAATGCATTTTCAGTTTTTAGAATCCATTTTCTCATAGTCCAGTTATTAAGTTTCAGGTTGGTAAGTGGGCTCAGGTTGGGGCAGTGAATTTTTGAAAGAACCATCTAAATAAGTATGTGCTTGCTTGGACTCACTGATTTAACACTCACCAAGCTCAGAGTGGAAGGTGCAGTTGTCACCTTTGTTTTACAGATAATACAGCATCTACTTGCAGCTGTTTTGAATTCAACACTGAAATTTTTTAAAGTTCTATGATACACGGCACATTTTTTTTAATGGAAGTGCAATAAGAAGTGGGTGGACTTGAGAATTCTTTGTGATTAGATGCTCTTGAGAAGTCTGAAAAACTCAAATTAGGAATGGTTCTGACAGGAAGTACTATCCTGAATTTGTTATAGTTCTTCATCGAGGGAAAATCATGTAGATGCAGACTTTACACATTTCAGATAGGGTTTTGTAGATTGCTCCAAATTTCTGCTCCAGTGTATTTGTTATTCCCTCAATTCTTGTTGTTTTGTGGCTGTATGTTTGAGTGCTTTCTAGGAGTTGACAGATGAGATTGGATCCAGTGAACAAAACGCTTCTTTGTTGCTCTGTTTGTGCTGGCCTCATTTTAGATGCGTGTGGAGGATGTAGAGATGAGTAGAGGGTGGGTGTAAGGTCCGATTTGAGTGGAGAGAAACTGGAAAGCTAGCTTAGGCCGGGAAGGGTGTGAACAGAACCTTAAAAAGAAGGACAGAGTGCATTGCGCCAGGGAGGCAGGAGCCCTGGCCTATGTCCCAGCTTCTAGACTCACCTGACAACCTTTCTTTTGGCCCAAATAGGTCTGTGATTATTCAGGCCCCGTGACACTTGGCCCTGCTCCCAGGGTGTTCCCACACCTTTGATGCTGGCTTTTTCAGCTTGCGTCGTGATTGTGTTGATGCAGGGCCTCCCTGTTGGACTTGGAGACGCTTTGTGATAGGGACTGTCTCGGGCCGACCTTCGGCATCTGCACACAGTGGCTGGCATCTGGTACGCACCCCTGAACTTCCGTTGGATGATAGCAGCTCTGAACGTGGGTTTGGTCGGCTGTCGGGGAGGCGACCAGCAGCCTTATGGACACCCAGTAGTTCTTGTGGAGAGTCAGTCAGATAGAGTACGTGAACATGCCTTGAAACTGGCAAGGTGTTATTAGTGAAGCACAGTCCTGAAGCAACCCAGGTTAGTCTTGTTGTCATCACTTGTAAATTTTGATCAAGTAGAAGTAGGAAGTGGGACTCTGTCCTGGGCCTCCCCTCCCCCCATTGTGTGTGTGGGGGATAAACTTCTAATTCAGAATAAAGTAATTTCAAAATAGGATGGCTTTGCAGTGCTCACGTTTCTTTGAGTGAGAACTTGCATAAAGTCTAGCGTTGACACTGTGCTAGGCAGGTTAGGGGAAGAGGGACTTGACAGACAAAATGCTGCCCACATGGAGACCGGTAGTGATGGATACCTGGATAATCTGGAAAATCCTGCACAACTTCCTTTGGACTGTACACCGGACTAGTTGACTAGTAGTGATTAGTTGAGTATGGCCCTGCCTTTATTCATAACTCACGTGTGGCCTTTTTCCCAGCATCCTCACTGGATTGTCATCATTAACCACTGCAATTGGGGTCAGCCCCTAGGGGGGTTCTGGTCTTAGAATACACTGATTTTTTCCGATAGGGCAGGTTTGTTGGCTTTATGTTATGGATTCCCAAGAGGGAAATAAGGCATAACTCTGGTCTTGCCCCCTAACTTTCCCAGCTGTTTCACCCTTCTTAGGATCTCCTACGATGAAAGGTGGAAAGCAGAACCCCACTCTTCTTAGGCACCCCCCAACCCCCCCATCACAAACACACACACAGTTTACACGTGTGGCTCCTTAAAGTATATGAGAATGTCCGTCGATGAGAATGAGGTTATCAGACGTGTAACTTTGACTTTAAAGAAGAATTAATTCCCAGACACTGGTACTTTATTATAGTGTCCACTTACCTTCTAAATAGCTCACAGCTCATTTGGTAGTGTACAGTATCTTGGGGCTAGTGGTGCTGAACTGCTTGAAAAACCTGGATGGTGGGGGCGCCTGGGTGGCTCAGTCGGTTAAGCGTCTTCCTTCGGCTCAGGTCATGGTCCCAGGGTCCTGGGATCGGGCCCCGTTTCGGGCTCCCTGCTCGGCAGGAGGCCTGCTTCTCCCTCTCCCACTCCCCCTGCTTGTGTTCCCTCTCTCGCTGTCTCTCTCTGTGTGTCAAACAAATAAATAAAATCTTTAAAAAGAAAAACCTGGATGGTGGTGTCAAGTTGGTGCTTTGGTGGAGTGGCCTGCAGTGGTTTAGAAAGGAAATTCCTACACAATCAACTTTGTTCCACTCCTGTTTCTTTATTCCTATTCTGGTTAATAGGTCTATGTCAAAGCTTTACCTTTAGTCTGTTTCTTGTTTTACTGCATTTTGTTAATGCAGGGGCCTCAGCCTGGATGCTGGCAAACAAAAAGGGGAAAAGCTCTGTGGGTGTAGAGGAAGGGACTTCTTCACAAAGCTTTTTTCCTCGTTAAATGTTCTTAACGTCTGTAATTTGTTATATAATTCTTATTTTTCAAAACAGAAGCCTGACATTGCCTTTACATCAATAAACATTTGTTGTACTTCCTAAATATTTTGTGGTATATTAAAGTTCTCATGTCCACAAATTCTTTTCACCCATCAAAGCCCAGCCCAAATGCCTTCTCTGATGTGGCTACTTTCTTGGAAGTCTCATCACACTTGCTCCCGCCTTTGGGATTCTTGCCACTTTTTGTTTTTTGTATTTGTTATTTGTATATATTCGTGCATTCAGTAATTGTTGGGAGCCCACTGGCAAGCTAATGTTTCAGCTGTCAAAGGTCAGGGTTAGCTCCATTTCTCCATTGATCAGCTTTGCACACTGTTTTATTAAAAAGTAATGCAGATACGGGGGCAGAGAAGTGAATTACTTCAAAGGAAGTGTGGGGTAGAGTGAGTGAGCATGAGTGAGTGTGAGTGTGTGTGGTGCGCCCCCCCCGCCAGGTGTTCTCTCGTGTCCATTTCCTGGGTTTTCTTCCAGAAGTAATCTGCCGGTGTGGTTCCTCTGGGGGTCCCTGAGACCTTTTCTGGGCACCTGTGAAGGAAGACTATTTTCAGTGACACTAAGATGTCATTTCTGTTTCCTGTGTTTGTACTGATGGTGCTGACGGCCATTGTTACCTCACCAACTCCCCGCTCAGCAGCAAAAGTAGGCAGCACTGTCACTTACTTGTATCCTTCCTTGATGAAACAATACAAATTAATTTTCTTAACTCTCAACCCTTGAATGCCCATCTTCTTAATAGTCCATGTGAGACAATGGGAAGTGCCTCCAAGAGCTCCAGGGCCTGTTGTGAGGAACAGCACTCGTGCGTCTTGAGTTGCAAAGTGAATGAGCCGCGCTTGTTGCAGAATGCCGTGTTTACTTGAAAAATGGGTGTTGGACAAACTGCAGTTTCCAAGACTTGGATATCTGGTGGACATTTTCTGGAACATAAATGAACGAGAATAACTGTCAGAATTTATGGTCAATGATAATATTTGTGCTTTTGAACAAAAATTAAAATTTTATAAAACTTATCTGCACCATGAGCATGACAGCCTCTCATTACTTAAATACTTTTTTGATGAGATCAGTGGCAATATTAATGTCAGGTTTTGATATTATATAATGAAATGTGTCAACATTAGGAAGACCTATATGGTTCTGTGAACCAGTATTTTCTAAGTATCAGTCTATCATGTTACAAATTTGTGCACAGGTGAAAAGATCCATTCAAAATAATAGACCATTGGGTTGTAACACAACAGTACGAAAAGTTCATTGATACGGTTTTAGATTTTACATTGCATCTGTTCTGGGAGAAACTACCACTTGCCTAGTTTGGGTGGTGTGGTA